ATAGGTAGATAAAAAATACTTTTTGGGTTTTATTTAGTAAAACTGGCAGCAGTCTTGTTGTCGCCCCTGCCGTACAACAATAGCAACAGCCATGCCTTCTGCTGGAAAGTTAATTTTTCTGGCAACGAATAAATAATTAGCAGCCATGTGCTAAGTTGCATGAGTATTTTGAAAGGAGCGAACAGAAACAAATCTTAACGTTCGGCCGAGAATTGAAATGAACAAAACATTCTTTGGCATGATCAATTTGGGCAGTAGTGGTCTCTTGTCGATGCATAAACAGGTTTGGTGGGAGCAACCGGCTCGGGTCCTCTAATCATACAACCCATTTCAACTGAATTTAGCAAAATAATTTGTTTAAAAATTAACTTCAAGTGTGGAAGGCGATAAATACCATTCCAAATGCAATTCATTTAACAAAATTTTTAGCATCCTGTAGTCCAAACCCATTATGGATCCCATATAACTTATCCCACTTGATTCCGTTGCCATGCTGACCTCAATGTTTGGCAATTGCTTCCTTAGCGGAGGCGACGCGCTTGAGGCCTTTTAATTAAAAGAATAGAATTCGCTGTTTTCTTGGAGCCAGAGGAAATAAGGTCGCCGGGGCCTTAATAGCCCTGCTTGCCTGTGTTTGCACAAAGATAAAAACCAGAAACTTTATAGCCAACCGCAGCGAAATAGATAAAAATGGAAATAATCAAGCAAAACCACGACTAGGCTCTGATTTATGCGATATCTAATGTCGTAGCTCCGGCTCTGATAAGGCACGCACCCCAAATGCGCCAAATTCCCTTCGGCTGGGTCGAACTGCAGCGAGTGAATCCATCCAAGACCCAAGAGCCTCGCAGAAGTGCAGTTTTGTGTTCAGAGGGAAAATGTGAATCACGATGACGGCAAAGACGTAGACGGAGCCGACGACTGACGCGCCAAAACTGATAAGACAACAAAGGAAATCACATGTGAAAGTAGGGAAAAGGAAAATCTCGGGGTGCAAAGGCGCTGGGAAAAGGTGCGCCGAGTATGCCGAGTATGCCTGCGAACAATCGCTAGTTAAATTGTGAAACGGAAATGAAACACCTACGCAAATAATGCAAGCGATGAGCAGACACGGCCGCAAACAAGCAACATCCTAATTTAGATAAGAGCCGACAGAGTCCAGTCCAGCACCAGCAGATTTTATGATCCCGAAGGAAATATTCATTATCCCTGTAGAACTCCACATACTTAAACACTGTAATAATTAGTTTAATTCATAAAATATTCAATATTTTCTCATATAGACTCCTAACACCTTAAAATTAGAAATATATTCGATTGACGCTATCTTAAGGATTTGCGGTTTTATTTAAATAATATCAACTCTGATTTAAAAGAGTATATAACATGTCCTACTGTCCTTTTTTTTTTAAGTGTAGCCGATGCCCTCTGTCTGTCGCGTTCCAATTAATGCTAGAATGCGGCGACCCGCTAGCTCTTTACCCCTTCGAGTCGGCTGCTCTAGTTTCGGTATCACCTTTGGAAAGGTGTTTCGGCGGATGCTGTAACCCTGGACTGGCCGGGATGCGGTTCGCCGGGGCATTGTCTGCGTGGCAGGGGCAGCCATAAAATTGGCATTGTTTTCTACGGTAAACACGCGCGCAATGCGGTCGTAAAACAAAAGACGCTTTTATGGTTACGCTCATTACGGCACACGCAATACAAAAGACCCAGATACACACGGGCCAAGAGATACGGATAACGACAAACAAACCTACGGATAAAACAACCAGGAGATACAAAAATTCAAAGGTAAAACTCCATCAAATACATTTTAATATTTAAATTAGAAAGAAAGTAAATTAGATTTTAATATCATACTTCAGAAAAATACATTTGAAAATATAACAAAATTATTATAAAAGGTAAAACCGCTGTCATAAATTGAGGAAAAATACATGAGAGCAGAAACTAAATAAACAATTCCATGAAATTAATAATCAAAACTTCAAAGATCCGAAACAAGATTCAATGGCTAACTAAAACCGGTAAGTCAACTCATTTAGTGTTAATAATATTTGAGAAAAGCACAGGCTTCCACTTAACAGTTTTATTCAAGACTCCTAACTTATGGAAGTTCCCATTAATTGACGAGTGGGTAAGTTTTACTAAATAATACTTTTATTAAAGGGGAATAAAAATGGGTCAATCCATCTTCAACAAATAAGCATTATTTTACCTAAATATTCAAATCCAAATAAACCTGTACGCCTAAACTGCAAGATCAACTTTTGTTTGCTGTGCATATTAGAACGTTGCGATCTTGTGTTTTTGCAAACGATTAAATAATCACTAATGAGCCTCGATAATTGGGTTAAGCCAAAAAATAAAAAGTAAATAAAACAAAGAAAAAACAAATTAAACGACATTGATGCCCGGCGTCCGATGGTGGCGATGTTGGCGACTCAGATACGGCCGGGTATTTTAATTTGTGTGAAAATATTGTACAAACAAATAAATCAACAATAACAAATAATAACAATAAAAATAAATATTATACATATTATGGCAATACACCGATATAGATATAGATACAGATACAGCGGCCGCGACACCGACAGCAGCAGATACGGATACATGCCAGCGGCGGCGGTCGGTGGACGTCATCTATCTGAGAAATGTTGGTCAAATGCTTTGATAGATATATTTTTGTAAAGTCATTGCCACATAGCGCATGCGTCACACAAATGCTTAAAACAAACAGAAAGCGCAGCGTTTTAAAGCAATATCAACAGCTCCCCAACAACACCACCAGCAACAAAATCAAAACAACGCCGGGAAAAAAAGCAGCAAAGCAAATATTTTCCATAAATATCCATTTGGGGGATGCGTGGGGCGCGGGCGCCAACAATTGAAACTAATTAAAAAGTTTGAGCATGGCTTAGACCCGATTTGCCACCGAGTGCAGCCGAACTGTATCAAATCGCACCGTTGCAAAGCCAACCGAAAGCAAACCGAAACGTCAGCGACAGCCGTTGACAGCGAATTCAGAGCGACCTACAGTGGCGCGCTTTTAAGGCAAATAAATAAATAGATAAATGACTAAAAGGTAAATAAATACACATTTTGGACTGCTGGCATTACTATTTGCAGAAGAGTCTACGCCAAAAAAAGCGTGATGCGCTCCCCCCGCGCCATCGCAGACACAAATGAGCCAAAGCCACTTGAATTGCCTGTGAAATACTATAAAAATATTAAATATTTAAGCACATTACGGTTGTTAGAAGTGCACATAAAGGCTTAGCCAAATGTTGGTTCAGACACCAGAAATGTTTGGTGTGTAATGGTATTACGATGAAATCTGGGTCTAAATGCTGTATTAACAAAGGCATTACATTTTTGTTACATTATTTACACTATTTCAAATTAAAAGTGGTATTATTAAATACCTAAGAAAATAAATATCAAGTATCTCATTATTTCTGCAATCTAGCGCCAAGATGTAGGCTACAAAAAAGTAAACTCAAAAGGACATTTCGAAATACATGTAATTAATAAATAGGAAATCCCGCGCATTTCTGAATACTCAGGTAGAACTTATTTCAGTGAAAACTTTCATTGAGAAACGAGACAATTGATCGTTTATGGCCAACATAATGAGCCTGGCTCGGATACACACACACACACACACTTGCACGCACATGGACAGGCACTTGGCTGGGTGAAAGGGTTAAGCGGAATGCACAATGGAAGGCGTCAAGCGATGGTAGAACGAAGTTCGTCCCAGTCTGGTTTATGGCCGAAATTAAAGTGTGTTTTATTCGCGTCCATAAAAGTGCGCTACCAGGAAGTATCCGCTAGCACGCGCATCTTCATCTGCATCAATGAACTGCTCGGCTTGGCTGGCACCAGGTAGCCGGCAAGGATAAGATGCGGATGCGGTTGCGGATGCTGATGCTCATGATTCTGATGAGTTGGATGTGGATGTGGAGTCGGCCCAGAACTGGGTCACTTTCGCAATGACTTGCCAAAAAGGAGAACTGCGGCGCTTCTGTTTCTGCTGCTGTTACTGCTGCCTCGCGATGCCTCGCCACGAATGCGAGGAATGATATGGAATGAATGAGAGTGACATTGGTGTACCTTAACCTCAAAATGCGCACGGGGCCACAAAAAACGAAAAGCAAGAAAGTAGAAAAAAAAAAAAATGAAAACAAAAACTGACAGAAAAACACACACATTATTAATGTCTTCTTTGGGAGCCAGAGCCAAGGCGTTCTTTTTTATTCCAACCCACAGAGCTAGGTGGTTCTCTGGCAAAACAGAGCGTCGCATTCTCACACTTCGTACTCAATCCCCCAGATTTCGTTCGTCTCCAGACCTTGTCTAGATTTTATTTTGAATTTTCCAGTTTTATTTGCCTCGTCTTTTTTTAGTTTTATTGCTTCTGGCACAGCCAGAGCGAGAGCGAGCGATTATTGATCGCATTAGGGAAAATCGTTAACTGTAACATGGCGTCGCTCAGCTCAGTTGGCGGCATTAGGCGATACGGCGTATCTGTGAGCTATAGTATCTGTATCTGTGAGCTCGCACGCCTGTATCTGTGAGCGCGTTGCCCGCTGTGTCTGTGTGCGCCGGGCAGCTGCTCCAAAAAGTTCGTCGAGGGCGTTGCTCACGTGAATTTGGCCACGCCCCCCAGTTAGTTGCTTGGCAACCGGCCCTGCTCTGTTGTTACAAGAGTCGATTGGCCAATGCGCTTGCGCCGCGAAACCCGTGTGTACGTAAGAGAGCCAGACCCTGTCATTGGTAACTCCTCGTCCGGCGGTGGTTAGTGGTGGCTTTGTGTGCGAGCCAGCTTGGGTGTGTGCGTGTGTGCGGGATAGCCGCTATTACCGGTCCCGTGGGTAAGAACGAGTCGGAGTGGCTGCTGCTGCCGTCGCTGTCTCGGCCGCTGCCTCGGCTGACGACGCTGCCGGCGTCGGCACTTGAGCGCGGCTTTAACAATATTTGTTGGCAGCAAGCGCAAGCCAAATAGTAGACAAGCGTTCCCCTCTGCAAACAGTCACATTCAAGAGCTCAAGCCAAAGAGACACTCGAGCGGACCAGCAGCAGCAACAGCAGCAGCACAGGCCAGCAGCCAGAGAAGCAGTCAGAGAAGCACCTTTTGCTTCAGCTTCAGCCTCAGCTCCAGAAGCTCCAGACTTTTAGTGGCCACAAGCCACGCAACGTTCGTGCGTCGGTTTTTGCAGAGAGTGACGACAAGTGCAATAATAGTGCTTCACAGAAATGCATCAAAAATGAAAATCTATTTTATACAGTGACAGTGCAGTGAATTGAATGCAAAAAGCAAGAAAACAACTAACCACCAACCAAGAGTATAAACAAAATACAGAATTAGCCAAGTGGTCCAAGCGCTAGACAGTTTTTAATTTTTCCGTTTTGAAAACGCGTATCGCACGCGTTACCCTTTCCACACATCCACACGAGTCCAAAAGCCGGCAACATAACGGCGCAACTATTGAACAGCTTCCTGAAGGGTAGCCCCCACCAGACCACCATTGACATCATGCAGAAGCTCTACGCGGAGCCGCCGCCCAGCAGCGCTCCGGTGAGCATGGCCACCGCCGGAGGCCCTGCGTCTGGCGGCGGTGGCGGGGGTGGACCTGGTGGTGGAGGACCTCCACCGCCCAGCAACAACAATCCGAATCCCACAACCAACGGCGGCAGCATGAGTCCGCTGGCCAGATCTGCCTACACAATGAACAGCATGGGCCTGCCGGTGGGCGGCATGTCGTCCGTATCCCCCCAAGCGGCGGCCACCTTCGGATCCAGCGTCCTGGACTCGGCAGCGGCGGTGGCCAGCATGAGCGGCAGCATGGGAGCAGCGGCGATGAACTCGATGGGCGGTAATTGCATGACCCCCAGTTCGATGAGCTACGCCAGCATGGGATCCCCGCTGGGCAACATGGGCGGATGCATGGCCATGTCGGCGGCCAGTATGTCGGCGGCGGGACTGAGCGGCACATACGGTTCCATGCCGCCTGGATCGCGGGACATGGAGACAGGATCCCCCAACTCGTTGGGCAGATCGCGCGTGGACAAGCCCACCACCTACCGGAGAAGTTATACGCATGCCAAACCACCGTACAGTTATATTTCTCTGATCACGATGGCTATCCAAAACAACCCGACGCGAATGCTGACACTGTCGGAGATCTACCAGTTCATCATGGACCTGTTCCCCTTCTACAGACAGAACCAGCAGCGCTGGCAAAACTCCATCCGCCATTCTCTCAGCTTTAACGACTGCTTTGTTAAGATCCCCAGGACACCGGATAAGCCGGGCAAGGGATCCTTCTGGACATTGCATCCGGACTCCGGGAACATGTTCGAAAACGGATGCTATCTCCGGCGGCAAAAGCGTTTCAAGGATGAGAAGAAGGAGGCCATCCGACAGCTTCACAAGAGTCCGTCGCACAGCAGCTTGGAGGCGACCAGTCCGGGCAAGAAGGACCACGAAGACTCGCACCACATGCACCATCACCATCACAGTCGGCTGGACCATCATCAACACCACAAGGAAGCGGGCGGAGCATCGATAGCCGGCGTGAATGTGCTGAGCGCGGCGCATAGCAAGGATGCGGAAGCCCTAGCCATGTTGCATGCCAATGCAGAGCTGTGCCTCAGCCAGCAGCCGCAGCATGTGCCCACGCACCACCACCACCAGCATCACCAGTTGCAGCAGGAGGAGCTGTCGGCGATGATGGCCAATCGATGCCATCCGTCACTGATCAGCGACTACCACTCGTCGATGCACCCGCTGAAGCAGGAGCCCTCCGGCTACACGCCCTCCAGCCACCCGTTCTCCATCAACCGCCTCCTGCCCACGGAGTCGAAGGCGGACATCAAGATGTACGACATGAGCCAGTACGCCGGGTACAACGCCCTCAGCCCGCTGACCAACTCACACGCTGCCTTAGGCCAGGACTCCTACTACCAGAGTCTCGGCTACCACGCGCCCGCCGGCACCACGAGCTTGTGACATCACCAGTACCCGCTGGCTTAAGGGCGCGCGGAGCAGATGCTGCGCTCGCAGCAGCAGCAGCACTTGCAGCAGCAGCAGCAGCAGGCGGCGCAGCAACTGACATCCGCTTCAAATGCCACATCGACAGCCGGGGGGAAAGCCAGCAGCGGCAAGGCGGGATCGGGTCCGGGGTCCGGTTCGGGCTCAGGATCTGGTTCGGGATCAGGGTCAGGATCTGGCTCGGTCAACTACTCACAGAAGCTGGCTCAGCAGCAACAGCAACAACAGCAGCAGCAACAGCAACACCAGCACCTGCAACAGCAGCAGCAACAGCATCTGCAGGAGCTGCAGGAGGACTCCTCGAACATCACCAGCGACCTCAGCGAGGAGCAACTGCAGCAGTACAACAACTACCAGCAATATGCAGCGGCGGCCAGCTACCGCAACTGGAATCACAGTCTCACGTTCAACGGGGCCGCCGCCCTGCAGAACTTGCTGTAGCTGTAGCTGCAGCCATAGTGGCCCGGACCACCATCCGGCCAATTAGCAAGTGGTGCGACGAGTTCGGTGGCTTTTAGCACCTGGGCGCATCCTTTGAGCACGTGAGTAGGTTCGCCGGCTCGCGCTTTGTACATATACCGATCGGACTACAGGCTGCAGGTCTTCTCCTCCGAGTTGTTCAGTTCCAATATTAATACATTCATACATACCATATATACCGTTCTGTTTGGGGGTCATTCAAGATCGATGAAAAAAACGAAAGAAAAAAGTGATGTAGTTGTAAGTGCAGCGTGCGGGGCGTCAAAAGCAAGGGATACGAATTTTTTGCACCCTGTCGAGCTAAAATTTTGTTAAATTTTTATGTTTTTTTGCAAATATAAAAACAACCACAAAAATAATAATTCCGTGCCATTTGTTTTCGTTGTTTCGAAACAAGCAATAACAATCAAAGCGGTTAAAACTACAAATTTAAACATTTTAAATGTATAATCGAGAAGAGAGAGAAGGATATAGAAGGAAAGAAAGAGAGAGAGAGAGAGAGCTTAGCGGGATCTTGTGTAATGTACTTTCAAAAATTATAAAGCTAAAACAGTCCCAAAAAGATAGACACAAATACTAAACACCTTTATCCAAAGGCAATCGCAATCGAATTCGAATCGCAAATGATCAAAAACCAAAAAGTCTAAAACTAAATCACCATATTCAGCAGATCCGCCACACCCTAAGAATCTTCAAAACTATCTAAGCAACAAAAATCTGGCCATGCATAGGAAACGTCACGTTCTTATACTATAATTTATCCAACTATCATTTATTATACTATATTGTATATGCGCGCCTAGATATATACGGATATGTATCCCAAAATCCAGCATTTCATTTAACATTGTGTGTCTTCTGTTGTTGTACGAATTCGTTAGGCTAAGGCATTTTGTACATAATCTATAAATAGATACATTTAAGCAGCATTCCCTTCCCTTCCCCCCAAAAAATAAAAAACAAAATAAAAAAAAAATAACTTAGGTCATCACTTGCAAACAACCAACTTTTAACTAACTCGAGAATTAATCAAATTGTATGAAATTATGCCACACAACATGAAAGTAAACATAATATAAATATAAATATTGTATAGCATTTAACATTTAATTAGCATAAATAATAAAAAGCAAAAAGAAAACAGACAAAAAAAATCACAGAAAAATCCGAAAACTGCAATTATTATTCAATAATTTTTAATATTAGTTATATTGTGCGTAAAATGAATGAAAAAAAGACGAAAGATATACAACAAAAACCCATTTTTACATTGAGCTAAGCTAATTAATTAAACTTGATAAAAAATAGTCTAAATAAAACCACACACACTGACACAGAAACAAATGAAACTTATTGTAAAATACACAATATAAAATTCAATAAATGTCAATGCAAGAATTAAAATCCAACTCTAAAGCTAGTTAAAAATTAAAATTATTATAAATCATGCAAAACAAATACAACAAAATCGACTATTTTAATGTTTGAAATACAAGAAAAAGAAAAAAAAACCTCATAAATAATTTTTTATTTACGACGACAGTATGGGATAGCCATAGCCACCTTTATTGATTCAAACAACTGACCTCCAACAATCATTTCTATATTGAATATTGGGTTGGGCCCTATCTCGGCTGCGTTCTACGAGTACCTACGACTATATCAATGCAGCAAATTCGAATTGAACGACCGATAACTATGCCGGGTTCCAAGAGGCCCTGCCTATCTTATCTCCACTCCAGAACCCAGAACTCAGAACTCAGATGCAGAGTGCAGTTTTCCACCATTCCCCGATGACGATGATAAACCCTTATCGCCGTGCACTCATAAATTGCAACGGAACAAGAAGGTAAACAACAAGGATGGGAACGGGACAGTACTCGGGACAGTCCCGGACCTAGCTGACTGACTGACTAACCCATCTCAGCCCAACCCCATTCCGGTATCCGAGCTGACAGCTTGCACCTATCCACCCGGGGAAGGGTGAAGAAGTCTTCTCCAGCGGGGTCGGTTCAGTGCCTGTTTGCTTTCTAGTAATATTCATAGAGGAGTAATACTTTATACATTCCCTATCGTCCCTAGTCCGGATACCTTATCTCTGCAATATAAACAACCGCCAAAGCCTGATCCGACGCAATTCCCCTCGCGGCATGGGTACTATGGGCAGTTCCCCAGAAACCCATCCACCGTTGATTAACTTTGGTGTGATTCATTTAAAGGAATCTACGATTCTAGAATTCTCGGACTAGGCTCGGGACATTGGAGTTTCGAGCCGCCAACGTTACGAATACTTATCTGCACACCGCAGAGCTGGGGGATGTTTGACAAGCTGTTGTCTCTTTTAATTAAGCAGGAAGGTCACAAATTCTATATATCTATAAACGACATTTTATTTATACATGAGCATGTGGGCAACGGGCTTTAATACATTTTTTATAGCCGCCTCCCCTTCGGCTGGAGAGCTGAGTTGCTCCATAAAGAGCTCGCTTTGTTGTTCGCCCGGGGGTCGTGAATAGGAAATGGAAATGGGACTGGGACTTTGACTGGGACTGTTGGGAGTTGGTCTGGGACGGAGTCTACGGCTTGAATTCGTACGAAGAACGACAACAAAATGGCGTTTGGTTTGTTGTCGCTTCAATTTCGATTTTTCCTTGACATTGTGACTGTCAGCGTTCTGGCGGAGTTTCTTCATTTTACCCCAGCCGGGCAAACAACCCCATCTGGTCTGGCTTAGGAAATCTGTGTTTTGGGGTTGGTGCGCTACGGCCAAACAGACAACCACCCAGTTGCCCACCACCCAACCCACTAAGCCCTCTTTCCCCCCAAAAATTTGCTCGCCAACTTGTCGACAATTTATATATCGATGCCTTAATGCCAGACATGCGCGCTGAAGACGCTGAATAGGACAATGGGTATATGTGTGTTTGTGCCTCGAAGAGGGGTTTCGACGGAGGGAGAAGGGCTTCAGAGTTTGTTGAGCTCTCTAGACGGATTCCATATATATTCATAAATGCCCCGATGCCATCAATTTGTAATTATTCAGCCTAAAAACAGATTTAAAATTCAATTTCAACAAACAAGTTCAACTCAACTTTCACAACTTTCAAAACAAAGCCATTAGAAAATTGGCAAATAGGAAAATTTGTCATGACATTTGGTAGGTCGTTAAAAATTTATGTTTGCCACAGTTCCATGGAAGTCATTGCATGTCTGTGACCCAACCCATTAAAAATAAAATAAATTAATTTATTTGTTAAAATTTATTATTTGCAGTAGACAAAAAGCAATATGAGATTCAGTTACTTTTTTTATCCTTATCACAGATTGTGGCTGGAATGTTGAATTTGGTTGAGTCTATGGCAGAGCTCTGGCCTTAGCTGCTAATAAAGAACCACAATCTTGTAGTAATTTTCTAATGGAATATTTAATTTTAAAACGAGACACAGCCAAGTTGGGGCACACAAAGCGCAGGAGATGATTCTCTGCCGGCAGTAGAAAAAGTGGTCGGGCAACCCTTTTTTCCTCAGCTTATGCCGGATGGATACCCAGGAAGTAGTGCCTTTGCTATCCTCCATCCTGCTGTTACAGCTCCCGCTCCTTTTACCTTCTGCCATTTTCCCAAACAACGATGGCAGTCAAAGACAGCGCCTTTCCACCGGAAAAAGACGCATGTTTTGAGTATATAAGTCATTTTGAAGAGGTTTATTGATAACATTATTAGAAATGTGTAGGTTTAAGCCTGACATAAGCTTTCGAATTAAATTCTAATATGATTTATTGGTTTTTAAATTATAAATTTCCACGACAATTTTTGGCAGTGTAGCAATCTCAGGGGTTAGAGGATGAAGCTTGGAGTCGAGGATGTCGCTGCAGGGCCAGCACTCGCTTGGTTGGCTGGATGGTTTGGATGGTTCTCTACGAGGACCCCCATGGACCCGCCTCCACTCGCTTTGTGCACTGCTTTTTCATTATAATAATACTTTGTAATTAGGTTTTCGAAAGTTAATTAAAATTCGGTTATGAAAGCGGAAACTTTCTCATGAACGCTTCCGGTTATAAAAACGCATGATGGCGGAGTGAATGGGTTGGGTTCAGTAAAATGGGGTAAGGTGTTCTGGATGGTGGTGCTTCTTTTGGGGCGTGGGAGCTCGGTTAGGCAAATGGAAGACGAGCAGAAATAAAAAAAAAAAATTACGAACAGGAAAAAGGATTTTCGGTCTCCGGTTGAGCTGCAGGCGGAGAGACAGACATGGAATAAAAGATGGAAATGTACAGGGCTTGGCAAAAGGAAAAAAGGACACGCCAAAGTTGAGGAGGGGAGCACGGCTAAAGCACGGCTCTCAACTTTGTTTCGAGAAAATTTTTGTGCAAACATTTCTCTGAAATTAAAAAATACATATTATATTTTAATGAGCAAAATGGCTGCCATCGTTGTATGCGATGGTTGTAGCTGTTGGTGTTGTCACGTTTAATGCGAGCCGCGCCCAGACAGCAAGGTTGCCAGCATTGCGAACGGGATAATTAAAATGATGACTTGAAAATAAATTGCTGTTATCTCTGACCAACAGGCTGGCTATATTCGCAGCAGCGACCCCGCCCAAAACCGTTGCTGGTTGTCGATGACACGTCGATGTCGACAGCGCCACATCATTATGGAAAAGGGGGAGGGTGTGGGCCTGGAGCTGGAGCTGGCCGTGTCCGGTTGTCCTCCTCGGGCTGTCCTCGGCGAGTGTGTGTGCTCTATCAGTGCCTGCTTTTGTCGCTGCTGCGTGCTTGAGAACGACACTTTCGGATTAGGCCGGCAGCAGGAGCAACATCAGCACCAGCACCAGCAACAGCAACAGCACTTCCAACAGCAACATCAAAAATCCTATAGAAACATCGGCGGGCAAGCTGACAAGTGCGATTGTCCTTTTCGCCGTTGCAGCTCGCTCGTTCTTTCGGCTGCATTGTGTTCCTTGTTTATCTAAAACATTCCACACATAATTAGTTGCAAAGCTCTGTACCATGCCACCCCCAGGGACCTCCTCCGCATCTAGCAAATTGAAATTAATCCGCGAAACCTTACGCTCGCAAATGCGGGCACGTGGCCTCTATAAGAAGCCCGGCACGCGTCCCAGGTCCTGCAATCAAAACATTACAAATCGTCCCGGAGCGAGTGTGAAGTTGGCCGGGTATTATCTTAAAAGTTAGAGCCATACGTTTTGGCCGGTATCTTGGTCTGTATCTGATGTTGATGGCCAGCTTAGCTGCAACGCCAACGCATTAATCACGTTTCGGCATATGGAGTGGAGTGGGGTGGTAAGT